GCCGTCTGACACGGGTCTGACACGGGCCAGAGCCCAAGCCATGAACCCAGGTTGCTTTTTTGTCTTCCTCTGCTGCGGTTGGGAGAGCTGGCTGCTGGCCACCTATTCTCTCACTCACGCTGCCAATCCCGGCATCCGGGCGGCATTCAGGGTAGGAGGCATCGAGGGGTGGGCCAAACTTTCTCTCCTGAAGGCTTTTCATCTCGTGGGTGAGAGCGGCCCCTCAGAGCCCATTTGCTCTTTTATGTCATTAGCTCTGCTGCCCCTTCGACACAGCCTCACTAAGGACCATAATATTGCACTCATTGGCTTGGACTGATTATGATTTATCTCTTGGGGTGAGGTAGAGGACCTCCAACCCTGAGGTCCAGGGACCTGCATGCATTGCTTAAATTGGTTACTTAATTAAAAATATGATTGCATATGCACACAGTATGTTTGTATGTATATACATGTACATACATATGACTGCATCTGTATATATATTTACATGTGTGCATCTTTTTTCCTTCCTAAGAAAGAGAGCAAATGACTGTGAGTTGGTCTCACAGTCACTGAGACATGTGAGTTGGTGAGTTATGTTCCAATGTGGAAATGATACAACCTTCTGAGTAGCTCTGGAACTTTCCAGCCTTTCTTTTTAATATTCAAACATGACTGAGTATTTTCCTTCACATTCATTCCCGACCTTGTTCAAGACCAGAATTATTTTCTTGTAATGTGACTGGAGTCCCATCGGATGGGCCCCCTGTATTAGTTTTCTACTGATGCACAATAAATTCCAACAAGCTTAGTTGTTCAACACAAATGTGTGGATGCTCAGCTTCCACGGGTCAGAAGCTCTGGTCATACCCGGGTCAGAAATCCTCAGGGCTCCCAGACTGCAGTCAAGGTGTTGGCTGCAGCTGCCTCTGAGGCTTGGGGGCTCCTCCCATGCTCACTGGTTGTTGGCGGAGTTCAATTCCGCAGGGTGGCTCCCAAAGGCTGTTCCTCTGCACAGGCAGTCAGTTTTCAAAGGGGCCGCTCGTTTCTCGCCAACAGGCACGAGGACGCCCTCCTCCCTGGGGCTGTTTCCTCGCAGCCTGCTCAGTGGAGTCTTCTCACATGTAATCGAATGAACATAGCGACCGCCCCCCGCCATTCACAAGCCCGCCCACCTTCAAGGGGAGCCAGGGCGTGTGACCTGTGGTGGGGGGCGGGGCGTGGGAACCTTGGACCACTGCAGAGTCGTGCCCACCACGTCCCCGACTTGCCTGTGCAGCTTTGGGTTGCTCAGTGTTCATTTTCTACTAATTATCAGTGGAGAATTCTCCTTTTTATTTGTAGCACTTTATATACCACAGACTGAGGTTTTTCTCCAATATTTTTAAATAGCATACGATTTTTGTTGGTAACCTACACCCACATCCTCAGCCTCACACTTGTCACACACCTTTTCTTCAATGACAGCTCACCATCTATCTCAAAAAAGGTAAAATTCTATAGCATTATTTGATACACATGAGTCTGTAGGACAGACATAAGTGTTTTCCCTACCCTGATTTTCTATTAAGTAAAAACCACCAGAGGGAAAGGGGAAGTAGAAAAGGCTAAAGGGGGATAAATGGAAATGGAAGGGGTGTGGATTTGGGGAGTGAGCACAATACAATACAATACAATACAATACAATACAATACAATACAATACAATACAATACACAGATGATGTATTATAGAATTATGCAGCTGGAACCTAACTCATATAATTAAAATATTTTTTTTAAAGAGAGCTCATTAAAGTATTATTTTAAGACACTACAGGGCCCTGGCTGGTGTAGTTCAGTGGACTGAGGCAGGCCTGCAAACCTGAGGATCACAGTTCGATTCCCAGTCAGGGCACATGCCTGGGTTGCAGGCCAGTTCCCAGCAGGGGATGCACAAGAAGCAACCATACATTGATATTTCTCCCCCTCTCTCCTTCCCTTCCCCTCTAAAGATAAATAAATAAAATATTTTTAAAAAGACACTAGAGGAAATGTAAAGAATCACAGGACTATTTACAGGTACTGAAAAGAGTTGTAATGTATTTCAGAAAGACGATAGAATCACTGAAGTTGAATAGCAATAAAATATTTAAATAGAAATTTAAGCCAAGAATGAAGGCCAAGTCACGAGTCTGTAAATTATTAATTGTCAAATTAGTCCTAGGGGCACTATGAGTTCCGAGGAGAGAGTTTGGACTGTTTTTTGTGGCGATTTAACCTACCCCACAATATGGTGGCTTAGAACGGCAGAGTGGTCACCCCTCACAGCTGAGGGGGCAGTTTGGACGGGGACCCCAACCTGCTCTCCTGCTCCAGGAACATGCCCTGGGTCGTCATGGGGCACTCAGTTGAGGCCCGGCCTGGTCCCCGGGCTCCAGGAAAAGCCCCACAGGGAGCTGGCTCCTGCCCGCTCCTCGGCCACTCTCCTTGCCCACAACATCCCCCTGTCCCGGGACTGCCGCATACTCTGGGCTGCTCAGGGCACAGCATCTCTGAGAGTGAGGAGGAGGGAAGGGGGCACCCTCGTGGCCTGGATCCAGAAACTCACACAGTGTGACTTCAGCAACACTCAGTAGGTCCCAGAGCCCACCCAGCTGGAGGAAAGGCAATGCAGTACCCTCCTTGCTCTCCAACACACCTTAAGGCCAGGAGAGCGCCAGAACATTTAGGGCTGTCTGTAACTCACCGTGGAGGGAAAGGACAATTTGGACCAGAAAGGTCTGAAAAAGCCATACAGGGAAAGCACATCTGAAAAAAGTGGAGTAAGGATACAGCTAAACACATCAATATCTAAATACTAACAGTAACGGTGGGAAAAAGACTGCCAAAGGGCGTCGCAAAATAAGAACTCTATTGTTTCTTGGCTTGTTTTGCTCTGACGATGGAAGTGTGGGAATTCGCCTCCACTTGGGCAAGTCATTTTTTTTCGTGTTCACACAACAAGCTAATTCAACCAAAAAGATGATTTTCCTTGACGTGAGGTCGGCTTATTGGAAACAAAGTGAATTTGAGCTGAAGGGTTTCATAGGACTGATTAGGGGAGGCTACTCAGAGTTCCCTGAAGCTCCCGAAGGCACTGGAAAATGGGACACGTGTGTTGTTGGCTTTGTGGCTGGATGGGGGCAGCACCCAGGGCTGTGACTCAGCAGCCCATGACCCGGCACTTGGGGTTCAGCAGAGTGGGCCAAAGTCCCGAGAGGCCCGTATGTTGAGTGTTTAGTTTTGCCGGGTCTCCCATGAGGCTTTGCTCAGCCAGGCTGAGTCCATCATAACGATGCTCCCCTGGCTGAGCAGAGGCTGCTCTTAGACTGGAAGCTTATAGACAACGGACCCTCCCCGACCACCCGTCCTGTGTGCGGGTGTGCTGCACGCAGACCACGCAGCCTGTTCTGAACACAGCACCTGGCGCTTGGTGAACATTTATTGGTGGTTAATGGACCCCATCTCTCACATTCTCTCAACACCCATTGAAATAATGGTTACAGCCTTTCTCACAGTTTTGCCTATATAATATGTAACATTTTCTTTTAATCTTTTTTGGGGGGACATGGATATATTTCAAATTTGTGAATATCTTCCCTGATGTTCAAAAGACAAAGGGGGAGGAAAGAAAGCTTCTGAGAAATACTTAAAACACACACACCTTTTAACGTGTTGCTGTTACTGAACAGCAGCTGCCCTTGAGGTGAAAATTCCAGAGGCAAAGGTCTGGTGATAAAGGAAAGGAGTCTTTATTCAAAAGCAGGAACTTAAGCCCATCAAGTCACAGCTTTAATCCCTGAAGCCTATCAATTAAGGCCAAACTCTACCACCCCAGTTCCATCTTTTCCCTGTTAGTTACGGTGTTTCTATGCAGTTAGTTTACAAACTAAAACGACATAAGTTACAAAAACTACACAATTTTGGAAGAACGGCACACTTCTGCCTCAGAGCTTGTTCTCTCTAGAACACCCAAAGAACAGCCCTGCCACCCTCGGCCAGGCCGGCCTGATCCTGGGCTGTGCCTGGACTTCCTTCCCATCCAAAGCACTGTTCCATGGGAGAGGCAGGCAGCCGTAGCTGCAGCTGCATCTCCGAAGCATCCAGGAGTAAGAAGAGCTTGTGAGCCAGAGCCCGAGCCTGAGAGAGCAGCTCAGGAGCCGGAGCACCAGCCCTTTTCAAATTTCCATTGGCTCTGGAGGCGTCAGCTTCTCAGCCAATCCCGTCCGAGACCGCCCACAACTGCCTGGCAAACACCTCCAGGGGCCCCTCCCTCCGCCTCCCCAGTGATCTGAGTTATCTGAATCAGATTTCCGTATAATTGCAGCAACCTGGGAAGTCATCAGCTCCTGCTAGTCGCTCTTCTATAATACAATGGAGATTCTCCTTCCCCTCTCTGATAAAGCCACAGCTTTTAGTTGTTTTATTTTATTTGGTGGGGAGCACTAAACCTTCCAAGTCACAGCCTGGCTGAGTGAGCGGCGATATAAACAGCTTTCGAGTCAACAGCTTTGTGCAGTTTACAGCAGCTATTGTTGGTAGTGTTTGCTTCTGGAGCCCTAGGCGGCTCCTGAAAACCAGGCAGACTTAGCAAACAAAAGGAGAAGAAAAGGAGGCTCACTTCAGGGCCTGGGCACTCGCAGTCTGGAGAGAACCGGTTAAGCAAGCCTTCGGAGACTGGAGGGGAGGGTGTGAGCCGGCAGGACCCAGAGCAAGGAGACACTAGGCCGGGGGCGCAGGGCAGCTGGATGGAGCCTCTTCCATTGCAAACGAGCGTCTCCTCAATAACCCAGGGACTGGGGAGCGCGGATAAGTGTTCTCCACCCTCTCATCTGTCCCGTCCAAGTACTTACACGAACCTGCTCCAAATGAACTGATGAATAGTCTGCAGACATTAAACATAGCATAATGTGTGTGTGTGTAGCAGACAGGTTTAGATAGACATCACCCGCCCTGCGTCTTCAGTGAGCCGTTTCCCAGACCTGCCGGATCCTACGGGATGGAGGCGGGAGAGGCTGCGCTGGGCAGTGGCCACCGCACAGCCAGCGCGCCTGCAGCGAACCAGCGCTGGGTGAGCGCTGCACTGCTGACGGAGGGCCGAGCGCAGTTGTGGGGCGGCTTTGGGCGCGGTGAGAATGACCCGGGGGAGGAGGGCAGGACGCTGGGCCCCTCCCACTCGGCCTTTTCTCGCGCGTCAGCCCCTGGAATTGGTATCGGGCGCCTAGCCACCTGCGAGTGTGCGCCTGCGAGTGTGCGCGGGGACTCCTGGCGCCTACCGTAGTGCGCCGAAGGACCCGCTTTGGCGAGGACCGCTCGGGACCCGCCGGCACCATGCGCGCCCTCTCAGGCCTGCGGGCGTCCCGGGCGCTGCCGCCCCAGCCGCTGCTCTTTCTGTGCCTCCTGGCCGCGGTGCGCCCGAGCTCGGCGGACCGCCATCCCCCAGGTGTGACGAATGCGGGACTCAGGAGGGGTGGAAGGGGCGCGGGAGGTCCGGCCCAGCTGCCGGAGGGCTTGGCCAGCGCGGGTGGGGGGGGGCACGGCTGTGGGGAGGGGCGCGAGGATGCTGGCGACGCCTGGGGACAGCGGCTGCCGCTGCCTCCCATTGGCCGTGCTTGGGTTATCCACGTCTGAGGAAGGGACCGGGGCGGCCTCCGCTGTGGGTGGTAAATCTGGGACCCACAGTACCGGCCGGGAGTCGGGATGTCGTTGGCAGTAGCACGGTGCTCCGTGTTTCTAAGAAGAGGGCGGTAGGGTGTCCGGGCGCGTGTGGGCGGGTACAGGCAGCGACTGGCCTCCGAGAAAGTGACAGTAATCTGAAAGCCACACTCACCAAGGCCAACTCCCTTCATTTGAATTGATAGTACGGCTTAAATAGCGCCTACTCTCTTCCACGCAGGTGGGTTGGCCTTGCGGATGTGGAACAACAAACCAACCAAACACAGCCTTGCAACTCAGGACCCACGCGGTGTATTCTTTTCATCGCGGTCTTTGACAGCGGGTGTGTGTGTGTGTGTGGTGGTTTTGTTAAAGACACTTCAAAAGAGGGATTTATGGGCAGAACGTTACCAAAACACCAAATTTGCCATTTTTAGCTTCACCTGTTCATCACTACTTTTTACGTTGAAGGCATCCCATCTAACCAGGTTTCCGATGCGCACTCCCGTGCGATAAAGTGCAGCGTTAGCCCCCAGGTACGGTAATAGGCTGCCTCTCAGGTTGGCAGATACTGTCCATCAGTTCATTGAAATCGGGATACTGTTCTACATAGGGTTTTTGGCTTTTCACAGGAGTTTATTTTATGGGCTTCTAGGTTTTTCATAATGTACCACAAAGATGGAAAGATAATCAAAGTATATGCTTATTTATTTTTTTAATAAATACCCTCTCAGGCCCAGTTGTTCACAACCTGGACAAAACCTTTCGGGTTGCTTCAGTTTCTTAACTTCCTCCCCCCCCCCTCTCTTTTTCACTGATGCCACTTGGAAAGAGTTGTCAAGGACACTTTTCCTGCCCAGGCTGTCCTTGATTCTTCCATCCCTGGTTCACCCCAGAATGGGGCAAATATGAGGACCTGTGCACTCTGGTCAGTCCTAGAACTTAGGACCTTGATTTGGCTGTATGTTGGCATTGCCGGGGAACTTCAAAGTGCCACCTGGATCTTGCCCTCAAAGATTCTGATTCCGTTGGCCTGGGATTCAGCCTGGGCATCAGGAGTTTTGAAATCCTCTGTGGTTTTAATCACGTGTTGCGAAGCAGATTGGAAACCACTGCCTTCAAACGACTGACCTTAGAGGTTGCGCTGTGGGTAGTTAGTTATTCTGCTGGCACCAGGGAGCCAGGTTTAAATGGACGTTTAGAGTGGGCTTCTAAAGAAAAACAGGGAGACCAATGAAGGTGGAGTGCATTAGCAAATAAATTGTAGGTGCGCATGCATTGCCAGTGACATCCTTTTGGTTTCTCTTAAGCCAAAATTATTGAATAATGTGCCATGTAAAAGGCATGAAGGAGCATCTACTTTTAAGGAAGAATTAAAAACTGTCAGGCAACCTCTTCTTGTTTTACGGATTCTGTGTTGCTCTCCATGAGGTTGAGCTTTCTGTTTGCTAAAGGACATTGTGAAGTTTACTGATACATCTTTTAAAAATCTAGATGCTTTGAACTACTTAGATATAGCTATTCTATATACCAAACACTTTTTGGCCAAATTTCAATATTAAAAATGGGTGCAGTTTTTTGTGTTTGTTATATAAAAATGGTGCGCATTGCATGGAAATGGCAGTATGCAGTTCATGGCACTGCATGTTAGCTTTCATGGTCCCTGAGTTGAGATGAGGAAATTGGAACTTCATGAGGTTAAATAATGGCCCAAGTCCACATCCTTAGTTGAGCAGTAGAGCAGGAAATGGAGCACAGTTCGGTCCAGCTCCAAAGCCTGTTTCCTTAGACACCGCGCTCAGTTGTCATGCTGACATGGGCAGGTGTGTCCCTCACACTCCCCAGTCACCGGCAGAGGGTGCAGCACGTGGGGTTTGTGGTCTCAAGCTGACGGGCTGGCTGGCATTGTGCGGGTCCCGCAGTGAAGTTAGGCACAGGGGCTCACTCTTGGGGGGTCTCAGTTAAATAAGAAATGTGAACTATCTTTGTGAAGGAGACGCATGGCTTGAAGAGCAACATTCAAACATCATTGTTATTACTATTTTACGGAACAGATCAGTGGAGAGAATGGGTCATTTTTATTCGCTGACAAATGTTTGCAGGCAGTAATTTGAAATGACCATGTTTAACCTCCATCATGCCGCAGCCCATGTGCTGTTGGCGTGGGTGAGAAGTGCCTGTGGGGGGGGCTTAGCTCTGCCCCTTCAAGTCGGGCAGTGGTTGGTTTCCCAGGTGTGGTAAGCACACTTAGCACCATGTCTCAGCTCGAAATACCCTGCTTTACTAATAGTAACTAGGGCTTCTTTGGAGAAATGGCCGGCTTCGGGACTGGGGTGGGGGAAAGTCTGCGTGAAGCCTGGAACACCTTGTGTCGAAAGCAATGACGTGTGTAAAGAATGATGGGTCCCGTCCAAAGAAAGCAGGACCCAGCATGAAGGGGCTCCCCCTCGACAGCTGGGACCACCTGAACATCCAGTATGCGTTCGTAGCCACTGAGTAGTGCCCATTGAATAATAATAGGTAAATACTGACATAAATTATTTGAACAAGTCAAGTAAAAGTTTCATGAGGCGCAGAATATTACATGGTTTCAAAGTAACTTCACACAAAGTTCTTACTAATGAAAAGGAGAAAGAATAACTGTATGGTGGAGAAGTCTGCCAGATAGGCCTTTAATCAGATGATCCAAGTGAGAATTACCAGTAAAGAGGGAAATGAAAATCATGTCCTATCCGACAGGATGCAGTGAGAACCACAATCACCTCTGCGGTCTTCCTGCGGGAGATGCCTGCTCTTAATCTAATCATGTGACAACGTCACCGCACTGTTACTTTCCCAAGTATCAAGGTCAGAGAAGTCAGGCGAGACCTAGGTTGTTCAGAGTGAAGGGGAGGAGAGAGACATGGCAGCTAATGGCCACAGATGAGTCACAGCTGGGACCTTTAGCTGAAAAGTGCATCTCAGCAAAAAGGCTTTTTTTGGGAGCTCAGATGTGGTGTGGGAAATGCACAAATGCTGATTTCCCTATTTTCACGGCAGTGTTGGGAGGGGGTGGGGTGAGTCCTCCGTGGTAAATGGACAGTGGTGTTTCAGAGGGGAATGGGCCATTGGGCTAGCTGCTTGTTCTCAGATGTTCTGTATTTGAAACTGTTCTGTCAGTTTAGGGTTATTTGAAAAGAAGCACAGACATCTGAGGATGTCTGACATGGGACCCCAGGGAGGAGCTGAGAAACACACGGGTGTGTGTCGTTAGGTCCTGTTTTCCAGACAAGTGCTTGTTCTGCACCAGTATCAAAGTCTGTGGGACGGAGTCCCGTCCCAAACCGCAGTCCTTCGACGCGACTTCTGTATCACCAGCACATTTCAGAAGGCTGTGTTCCACAACATTTTCTAACATTACATGAATGGTAGAAATAAACAATTTAGGACACACACTTTGAAAAACCTCACAATGTTTTATTAAAAATAAACTCTTTATTCCTAGTAATAGTCACTGTTCACAAATAAGGGAATATCTCAAATAATGTGCTGTTGGTACAGAAATAACAGGTGTTGTCTTTAAAAATGGTGCTATTCTTTTAACTAAAAATCACTTTCCTGGAATTTTCCAAGTGACTGGGATTATGACATCACTAGTGTATCCCAGCTCCCAAGACAGAATCTTTTTTTAAAAATTGCCTTATAATTACATTGTCCTGAGGTCCAAAAAGGAACCTAGATGTAGTATTTGATTGATCTTAAAGCCCAAAGTGCTTTTTGGTGATCAGTGACGTGAACTAACTGGTAACTGTAACTAGTTTCCTGCTTTGCATTTCACAGCCCCATCCAGCAATGGGTGCTTCTTCCTCCAAGGTCCTCAAAATAGGTCCCTGTCAGAAGGGATGTGCATGGAGCTGAGGAGGGAGGCAGCCCTGCAGCTCAGGGCAGCCTCTCCCCCTTTCCTCATCAGAGGCCTGGGTGGTCTGGGGGGCGGGGCCTGAGTGGAGGCGGGGCCTGAGTGGAGGCAGGTGGGCGAGGCTTGCTCAGGAGACCAGGAGGGTGGTGCTCAGGCCTAAACAAGCTTCTGCTGGAGGTGGATGAACTTGAAGACAGTGAAGCTCCAGCCCTTTCTGTGTTTGTTCTAAATAAATACTTAGTGTTTTTTGGGGGGAAGGCAAAGAAGGGTTACATGAAGCATCCATGCTTTAAAATATCCGCACCTAAATGATGTAGCTAGAACAGGACCCCAGGGCTACAGGGCTGTTGTAGATTAGTAAATATCATCGTGTTGAAGAATTGGAGTTGCAGGTGCACCTGTTTTGAAAGGAGAGCTCCTCAGCCTTAGCATCACTGACATTTTGGGCTGGATGAACCTCTGTGGTGAAGGGCGGTCATTATCAGATGCTTAGCAGCATCTCTCTGTCCTGGGTGAGGAGTGCCCCACAGAGAGAATGGTTTAGGTCCTGACGTTGGCGTCTGGGAAAGGGGCTCAGCTGGAGAGCTGGGCCTTTGCAGGTGCAATCGAGGTAGAATGAGGGCAGACCGGGTCAGGATCGGCCCCTGGCCACGTGACTGGGGTCCCTATGGAAGGAAGGCGAGGGGTTTGGATCCAGAGACACGGGATCACAGATAGAAGATAGCCATGCCAAGATGGAGCCATCGATGGGAGTATTGCAGCCACCACCTCCGGGACACCGAGGACACCAGCCACCAGCAGAGGGAGGGCGAGGCCGGGAGGAGGCTTCCCTGGAGCCTTCAGTGGGTGGTGGCCCCGCACCTGGACGAAAGGCCTCCGGCTTCCGGAACTGCAAGCGGACACACCTTGGCGGTTTTAAGCCACAGTCTCCGTGGTCATTTGTTACGGCAGCTCCAGGAACCAAATATGACCTGTTAGAAACAAACAGCGACCTTCCCTATGTGTGGCAACCACAGTGTCTCCGGACATTGCCGAGTGTCCCGGAGGGGGGGCAGCAGATGGCCCCCAGTGGGACACACTGAATAAAATCTAAGTCTTATGGAAGAATGGTCTAGAGGTTGAAACAATTTAAAACCTATTTACTGTCTTTAGAAAGAGCAGAAATCCTAGTCGAACTTTTGGGTTTTTATTTTTAAAGAGTTTTATTTGACATACATTTCACTGTTAAAACGCCCTAATGATCTATGCAGGGGTAGTTCGAAACATAAGGGTTTCTATACTGTACTCAAATATATTTTACTTCAAAAGTCATATTTAAAGAAAAGATCAACTTATATTCCTATATGATCAAGTTTTAAAAATAGTTGGACAAGGCTGTGTAAAAGTACACGTTGCTCTTGGCATTCAGCTTTTTAATTGTTTTTTTATTTTAACTAGGCTAACAATGGCCTTCTTACCAACAGTTCCCATATTGTGTGAAAACAAACAACCCATGAATTTCTTGTCTGAACTGTTTTCTGATGCTGAAAGCCTGACTTATAACAGCCCCATCGGGTGTTTATTTTCTTGACAAACTCTCTCTGAAGTGCAGTGTCGGGGAATGCCCCTTCTCTCCACCATCCTGGTTGCAGACAGGGGTGGAGGTGGGGCGGGGGAGGGGGGAAACACTGTGTTCCCAGAACCCAGAAGTACAATTCTTAAGTACACTGTTTCCAAGCAATATTGGCCATTAGATACTTTAATGCTAGAGTTCACCCCTACCATGGCTTAAATGGCCTTTCCAACTGGGCATGGTTAGATATAGCTGCTTCCATGTGAGAATGTATTTTGATTTCCAAAAGTGTGTTTTATAAATATATATGATCTATTTTTAGGTTGTACTGTTTCTGTAATTGGGTTGCACATTTATAATGCTAAATATCAAAATGCTAAAATTAAGGTTTACTTAAATAATTTTAATCATTCATATAGCTAGCAGTCAATACATTATGTGAGTAAGAGAATGATATTTATCTGAATAACAGCTTTTTCTTACATCTTTCTCTAAGTGAAGTCTAGACACTTCCATGATTTTAAAATACAGTCAAACCTCAGTTCTTGAATGTCTTGGTTCTCGAACAACAGTTTGGTTGTTGACCAAGTTGTTCATGGAAAATGTCTCAGTTGTCGAAGAAAACTTGGGGTCTCCAGGTCTTCCAGAACAAATTAAGTTCGAGAACCGAGGTTCCAGGGCATGAGAAAGGAACTGGAGGGAGGGATTAGAGAAGATGATGATTCTTAAACACAGGTACAGTTGAACTGATTTTCTGATTTAAATAAAAGCAAATCTTAAAAACCCGAAGCAATTTTTCTAGTGTTACTCATCCTCTTTCTTTCCTTCCCAATTATTTTTCAGTTTAATGGGGCCCCAGAATTAAATGTGAAAGTGTCACCTTAATAGATTCAGTAGAAATTATAGCATGCTCATTTCGTTTGAAAATGCCAACAACATATAGGAATTTTTATTTTATTTATTTTTATTTTTTAAAGATTTTATTTATTTATTTTTAGAGAGAGGGGAAGGGAGGGAGAAAGAGAGGGAGAGCAACATCGATGTGTGGTTGCCTCTCATGTGCCCCCCCGACTGGGGACCTGGCCTGCAACCCAGGCATGTGCCCTGACTGGGAATCGAACTGGAAACCCTTTCATTCACAGGCCAGCACTCAAGCCACTGAGCTACACCAGCCAGGGCAGGAATTTTTAAACATAATAAGTGAAGGATCTTTGACTAGATACCACGTGGTCATCTCCCGTGAAAGATTAACAGGTGAAAATGAAAACGAGGATGTAGTTCAGTTCTTTGGTGTGGGGCCCTCATGCCCATCTCCCTGCAGAAGGAGAAAAACAAATCTCTCATTCTCTGGAACAACTCTCAGGTGTTACTCCTTTCCGTTGGCATTTTTGCCGCTACCCACAGACGAATGCCACATGGAAACTTCCAGCTGTGACTGACAAAGGGGAGAGAAGGTGAACTTGAGGAAGGCGAGTGTGGTCTTGGCCCCATCACCTGACGTAACACAAGTCCCCTCACCCGCCCTTTTCTCGTGAAATGCAACTTGAAGCAACAAGCCAGTGGCGGAACGTGGATCAGGATTCGGACTGCCTGCCTCTCCATTTCGTGTTTCTTTTTGTGACTCTGCCTAATCCTTTGGGGGAAATTTTTAGACCACCTCTGCCGGAATTCCCGGCCAGTTTCCTCCAAACACCGTGTCTGCTGACTCAGGCTTCTGGCTGCTGGGAGCATTCAGGTTTACCTTCTCTTTTTTTTTTGATTAAAAAATACCTTGGCTGAACAAAGAGTGTCTCACTTTCACTCTCCTAACACCTTCTGCAGCATGCCCTGTTTTTGCACCCAGAATGTCTGTATCAATGGCTTCTTCCAGGAGCTCTCTCTGGGGAAAACCACAGCAGCTTCGAGTGATGGTTTGCACTTGGGCTGGTTCTGTGGGACCCAGAACGTGGTAAAGGGGATATGAGGTTAGGTTTTGAGCGGTGGCTGATTCATCGATGTCCGACTGTACTTTTCTTATAGGATCTGGCAATTGGAATTAGTCACAGCAGCTAAGCTATTCTGGAAATACAAGCTTCCCTACTCTTGAGCTTGGTTTTTCTTTGTCCTTGTATTCCTTCCACTTCTATTTGCTTAGATGGCGCCCAGGCCAAGCCTAGCCCCCTTTCCCTCCTTGCTCTGGTTCAGGACCTTGGTGAGCCCATCCAGCCAGGTCCCCGTGAACATGCCTCACCTTCCAGGGTTCCCTCCCTCTCTCCGCCACCTCTGGAGCCACTCAAAGGTGTTGGTCAGGCCCCACCTCTGGTGCTCACACACCAACCTGCATAAAACTCACAGGCCAGGTGCGGTCAGTGCCGTACATGGTGCTGCTCTAAGATTCTGACGATCTCAGTGACACCCTGGGGACCCAACCTGCCATGGCTGCAATTCCCGCAGCCCCCTGGGCACCAACGTCACTCAGTCTCCTCCTCGCCGCATCAAGAATGGGATAAAAATAAGAACAAAAGCGCTTTTATTAAAAGCGCTCACTGTTGCTGATGGGGGGATTAATACTAATAAAGGACTGTGGGCCCTGTCAGGGGTCAGGGGATGGGACAACCCGTGCATTCTGTCCTGTGCGCAGCGCCGGCCCAGGGAGAATGCCCCGACAAGGGAGCAGAGGTATCAGATCTCCGGTTGTTCAGGTTTCACTGACCCGAGGCCACGGCAGAACAGCTCCTTCCGTCCCGTCCGCCTCTGCCTTGGCCGTGGTGAGACTCTGCTTCTGTACTGTAACCTCAGTGAACTATGCCCAAGAATAAAAAAAAGAGTTTTTATTAGGAAAAGGTGCAGCCTTTCTGGCTGCATGTGTGCATGTGTGTGGGAGAGTAAACAGATATTTTATGTGGTTGAGGGAAGGGTTTTGCATTTCTTGTAGCCCACAAGACACTCAGGCCACATTTCCCTGTAGAGTCACTGCCAGAGGGTGGCATGATTTAGGTCTTTAACTCGTTAAAGGCTTGCCCGCAGGGGTGTCCAGCCTGCAGCCTGCAGGCCAAGTGCAGCTGATGATAGCTGTGAATCCAGCCCAACCCAAAATCGTGAATTTATTTAAAACATTATGAGACCTTTATTCTGATTATGTGTCACAATGTATTTAACAAGTCTAAGGCAAGTCTCCGTCTTCCACTTGGCCCAGAGATGCTGCAAGGCTGGGCACCCCTGCAAGTTTGTGGGAACGCGCATCCCCGTCCAGAGTGTCAGGGGAAGTGACGGGGCCTTTGGGCACAGCTGATGGGAGGGTTAGGTGGGGCTCCGCAGATTTCCTTCATTCGGCGACATGGCGAATGCCACGTGTAAGCTAGAGCGACAGAAGCAAGCACTGACTTTGATAACGGTTTCCACACAAAGAATAAATGAAATAACCAGAAATGACTTCTGGATGAAGTATAAGAAAACAAAGCCAGCAAAGACCAGGACGAATTTACACTGCATGAAGTTTAAGGAACACAGTCCAGTTGACAATCACAAGATTTTCTTTTTCTTCTCTGACTTCTTTGCTAGAGTTGCAGTAGTTTTTACAGGGGGCGAGGCCTGGGGCCCTTGCGTCAAAGGATAAGTAGCCGGTGTAGGGAGGAGTTCTGAGGGGAGTGAGCAGGGTGGGGGGGCGAAGACTGTTGCTTTGGCACAGGTTTTCAGCAGGTGATGTGAGGGGCAGAGGAGAACACGGTCCTGGGGCTGCAGCTGGACAAGGGAGACTGGTGTGGCCTCTCACGGCGTTGCTCCGCCTTCTCTGGCCTTGGACTGCCCAGGCCTGTCGCGTTCCTTCTCACGCCCTTTACTTCGGCCAGCTTGTCCTTGGCCTCTCACCCGCTCTGCCCCTCACGCCGTTCTCTTTTTGGCCGCTCTCATCTTAGCCCTCAGTGTCTTCGTTTATGTTTCGTAAAGACACCACAAATTGTAGGATAAGAAAGTGAAGTTTTTTAAAGCCATTTGATGTAAATCAATAGGGAATTTTCAGAAAAAAAAAGAAGAAGAAGAACATAGAAATGATTGGAAATTTGGTCACACTTAGTGCCGATATAGTTCTGAGTATCTGTGATGCATATGAGACCCAGTGAGTCAGAGCTTCCTGAAAAAGTTATTCTTCATTAATAGAATATAACATTTGAACTGTTATAAACTAGCTTTTAGGTAGTCACTTAATCTTGATGGGAATATAAAATCACGTGTCCTTTTTCTTACAGCTTGGCCTTTTTCAAGTGTGCCTGCTCGAGAAGAAAGGCTGGCAAGATACCACAATTTTTCCTCGGACAGCCATAAAATATCACTGACTGGTAACTGTATCATATTTCAAGTAATTCAGCCCTGAAATGAGTTTTTATTTTTCGTTAAGGCACCGCCTGTTGCCTTCTGAAGTGCTAACCCCTGCATGCCGTCTGGTGAAACAAGCATGCCAGTCCCGGATACAATTACGGGGTCCGTCTGGCACACATGGTGCCCTACACTGTTGGCTCTGTGGTAGCAAATGCAGGACTGATGCCCTGTGGATGATGTGCCCTGCAGGGAGGAGGCAGCCAGCGCAGACACCGTGGCTAAGACGGGCTCTCGAGGAAAGGGACCCTTTCCTTACTCCATGGGAGGAGAAGAGGGTTCAGGTGGATTAGAAGATGCTCTTATTTCTCATCAGTTCTCCCTGGTGTAGCCACCAAATCCCTCTCAGTTAGGAGAGTTCTTGTAGCGAGTGAGAGAGACCTTCAGGCAGATCATGGGAAGGTGCTGGGGGTGAGTCCATGACAGTGTTAACTCGGAAGTACCACTCGGTCCACTTCCTCTTCCCATGGTTTTGGATGCTAGTGTTTCAAAAGTAAGGGCAGGGTTCTTCAGCTGAGTGGGAGTGGTTCTCTGTCTCCGTAACCATGTTAACGGTTGAATTAGCATTTAAAAGAACTTAAACCTGTTTGTTGTGTCAGTAACAACTTTTATCCAAGGACATGTGTAGTCTTTGCCCTCTTGTATGAAGATTGGTTTCCGTAGTTCTGTTTAACAGAAATAAAAGGTGGGCTTTTCCCTCCCCAAGCTGATTCCAATGGGGCGTCTGCTCAGCTTTTTTGTGGAACGTTTTTATGACGTTGTACAACTTCTGTTTGTCCCCAAATATCCCTATTCTAATACTTACAATTTATTCTTATTTGTAGAAAGGAATCACTACACTCCTGTGTTACTTGCTTTTTTCCTTGTTGCATGTTGAGATGTTTGAGAGAGATTCATGTGAAACAGTCTGTGAGTCCTTTGAGCTGCCCAGGATTTGAGCCTCCCAGGGATGCTGGCAGCATCCCAGCCTCCTCTGCCCAGTGCGGCAGGCGCCTGGGGGAGGACGGTGCCTGGGGCAACAGCAAGAACGGACTTTTTAGTTGACGCAAGGCTGGTTATTTGCTTACCTAACCTGTTTGCAGGGTTTAACTCCTGACCACTCTTTTCTTCTGCGACTGCTGTTAAAACCAGCATGTCCACTGTTATGAAGAGATCAAGTGTTCACAGTTCACTGCTTCCTTACCTTCAACTTGACCCGATACTCTTCAGCCAGGCCATTTTCTCTCCCTCCCGAGCCCCTGATCTTTGCCTTGCCCCAAGTGGGGAGCAGTCCCTGTGTGCACAGCCCACAGCCCAGCCTTGCTGTCTGCTTCCCCTCGCTGGGCTGCCCAGTCTCCATCCCGAGGCGCCTTGTGAGCCGGTGTCCCCCTCCTTGTAAAAGAAAGGCCTGTTTCTGTTTGATTTTGAGATGCTTGCAGATCCAAAGTCGACACCATTTTCTCCATTGCAATAGGATTTTTGAACCAATTAGATTCAAATTTTCCCTTAAGTCTCTTAAAGTTTCCCGTTAAGTCTTTAAAATTTTCCCATAAGTCCAGATTTGCTTTTATTTGACAGAGGAAGAGATTTGCCGTTATTCACTTGGACATGTGGGCTCTCTGAGCTCTGACTCAGAGGATTACAGTTACAATGTTGCTCCCGTGCCCTTCCAACTGGAAAGCTTGGTTCTAGAAACTGCCTTCCCTGAAATACAAAGTGTAAATCTGAAGATGAGTTTGTGTTTATCAGGAACCACAAGCTTTATTCTCTCGACTCTCACTAGGATTTTTAACCCATTTTATAAATGGAATGTTTTCATACTGTTCTAGCACTGTTTATTTGATTTGCCCCAATATCGATTATATCATTACTCAAGTTTGTTTGTAAATGGGTGCTGACAAGTTATTTTTAATGCTGTTTTCCGTTCCCTCTGGCCATTTTAGAAATTGATCTCTCTTTTAGGATAAAATGTTTCTTGTAGAGAAGCTCAAATATAATAGATGAGTTGCAAATGTTGTAGCAACATGACAGTGGCCAGTTCTTCCCATATTCACTCACCCAGAGGTGCTTCAGACTGGGAGACACAGCCCAGTGCTGGGAGAGTTGGAAAACCTGACCTTTGATCCACGAAAGACTGGCTGGTGGTTATTTTATGTTTTTAAGCTACTACTAACTAGTTACTTAACAGGAACATGGTGCTGACTAGTACCACGTGTAGTCATGCATTGCTTCAGATCCAGGATACGCTCTGAGAAGTGTGCCATTTGGCAATTTCGTTATCGTGCAAAAGGGTGCACTGACTGATGCACACCCACCAGATGGCTTCCTCCACACCCAGGCTATCTGGTTGACCACCGCTGTACCTGCAGTTCGTCGGTCACTTGTTGTCCAAGAAGCTGTTACACAGTGTGTGACTGCATCTATTCCTACATGAAAATTAATTGAATCCCCATAACAACCCTCTGCAGTGGGTGTTATTATTATTTGTAACTTGCAGATCAGGGCAAAGAGGCGCCATGAGAGAAGGGAACTGGCCAAGGTCACAGGTGGTACGTGGGAGCGCAGCCTTGAACGCAGGTGGTCCGCACCAGGGGCCAGGCCATCTACCGTGTTACCACGCAGCATTGCCACCGCTCAGTTACAGCATCTTCCAGTAGCATCACTTAAGTAATTATATCCACGTTAGGTAAAAAGTTTTAAAAAACAATGAAAGCAAAGCTAATTTAAGTGTCCAATTTATAAACAGGTTCGTGTTGGAAGCTGCATTCACTGAGATGATGAATACAGTGTGAGGGTATCATTGACAGAAGAGTAACTTTTCTTTCTTTCTGATATCACTGTATTTTTAAAACCATCTTTTGATAATGGACTCTTTTTACATCACTGTACTAAGTTTTCCATCGTCAATATTTGGAATTCAGTTTCCTTCCACCAATTGGAGCGTTTCTTTATTGTTCCTTCTATTAATTTTTCCTTTCCCTCTGCATGTTGAAGTGTTTGGTGTCTCGACCGATGTGTCACAGGTTAGCCAGAAGTTACAGTGAAGACATTGGCCTGGAGGCTTCCTCCCACGCCGACAGCGTTGATGCAGGCTCTGCCATGGCAGAGTGTATTCACCCTGTTGAGACGTGGCCCAGCGTGGTTCTTGGTGCGGGACGGACAGAGGTAGACAGAGCAGCTGCTGGAGAGGTACATGTGTGTCAATTAAGGTACAGAGTGAAATTGAAAAGATTAGTCAAGGTCAGGAAAGGTGGCCATCCCCTCAAGAGGGGAAGATGCGTGATTTAACGATCCCATGGATGTTAACACTGAGTGAAGAAGCTCACTGCGGAGTCAGCACCGCACGGAGAGACAGGCCTGGGCCCCCTGGCAGGAGTGGGCCAGGGAACCTTACCGGCTCTAATCCGGTCTTTTTCCTGCCCTCCTGCTAATGTTTGCATCCTCCCAATCTTTCAGCATTAAGTCAAAAGCTACATTGTCAGTAAAGCACATATCCACAAGTACTGCCTCTGTTTCTCTGGTATCTGCTTAGCATATTTTATTAATTTTAATTATATAAGTAAAAATGAGCTCATTTAAAAATATTAAATCATGATCTTATTTCTAGCAATATAGTAACTCAGAGCACCTCAAAGGCTCCTATCACAGCCAGGGAATATAAAATACAAAATATACAATACAGGAAGCATTCTTTCAAAGACTGAGCGAAGTACACAAAGAAATCAAGACGATTTCCACAAACTGAAACTGGCGACTGAGGCCTCAAACCTCTGAACCGCTGTCGGGTTAGATTCCCTGGAGTCTGTGGCCAGGGCGCTTGGGTCTTTAAGAGCCACAGGTGTGAGAACAAAGCCTTGAATCTGAGCTCGGAGGTGAGCTGGAACTGGTAACCTCCAGACACCTGATCCTTCCTAAGATAGAAATGCAGGGTGGAAGGTTTGACATAAGGGAAAATTAGCTGCCCGCCACGAGAGGATGGGCAGCTGGAGGCTGGGTGTTAGTCCTCTACTGCGTCAGAACCCAAAACTTGCTTGATTAGTCACAGACGAGGGCCTGATGCAGGAGCTTCCAGTCCATGGCAGAAACGAGCCCAAGGAGGGGGTGCTTCCGCAGGAGAGCGAATGAACAACATCTGTGGAGGAAAGACTCGTCCCCGCAGGCTGCACCATCCCTCCCGAGGACCAGCTTCCAAGACAGACAGAAGGATCATTGGAGCAGCCTCAATCCGAGAGGGAGCTAAGGAGCAGTAGGGATTGACCATTCAGAACTTTAGATGTAGGAACACTAGGTAGGGACATAAAAGAAGAAATATGAAAACGTGAGGGAATAATATTCTGCTATCAAAAAAAAAAAGGATAAAGCATGTTTGAAGAAATGACCAGACAGAACTAAACTTGTCAGAAGGAGGGAACGCCCCTGTGAACTCCATTGATTCTGTCTCAGCCCTCATTTTCTCCATAGGGTAGGCGTGCGTGTAGGCATGTGTGTGTGTGTGTGTGTGTGTGTGTGTGTGTGTGTGTGTGTGTATGTCGCTGTCCTTGGTCACTGGAGAGTACTAGGCCGTGCTGTTCGGGTGCCTTAGTGTTACTGGTATAAACCCAGATAATACTAAGTGCTTCTCTCGATCTTCCAACACTAGTTCTCAGAGATCTGGCCCTACCACATGGAACTAGCTTGTTTCTTTAACATGGGTACACAGTAAAAATCTTCCAACTACTTGGATATTTTTATCTTCATGGACCCTGGTGTGTTTGAGTTTTTCTCTATTGTAAACCATGCAGCAATGGACACTGTTACCTCTCTCTCTATCTCTCAACATGACTATGTGCATTTCCTTGGATAAATTCCAGCAAGTAGAATTGCTGAGTCAGAAATCATTGCATTTTTATTTTAATAGGTACTTGCAAAATATTGTAACTGTTTATTCCCTCCCCCCACGTGATATTATAGAGTGTATATTTTTTCTACACCTTGACCAGCCCTT